AATTCTGGTACCACTCCAGACTTTGGACTTCGTTGCTATGGGAGCAGGCCTTTGTGAAAGGGGACAGTGTGTTTAAATGCATGCTCTGTGTACTTACCTTTAGAATTAATCATTTAGAAAGAAAACTTTTCTACTGTATTTGATTGTTTTGTTGTTTCTGCCAAAGGGGACTATGGCTCTGAGCCACCTCTCTGGCATTTGTAACACTGTGCTCTTTGCCCTAATTTAATTAGGTCCTGGACCCAAGCCAGAAGCCTCTGCCAAGCCCCCTGCGAGACCCGTGGATACCTATGACAACTTTGTACTTCCAGAGTTGCCGTCCGTGCCAGATACACTACCAACTGCATCTGCTGGTGCCAACACCTCAGCATCTGAGGACATTGACTTTGATGATCTTTCCCGGAGATTTGAAGAGTTGAAAAAGAAAACATAGGCCTCCTAATCCAGGCACCATCCAAGTCCTGGGAGTTGAGACTGAGAAGTTTCTCCTTGTAACTAAGAATCTCCATGAAATTCTGTTCCATCTCTTAACCATCACCGAGCACACTCTTCCTATGGGCTCTCTTCTTGCTCTACCAAATTGTGGTGCTTTCCAGTTCTTTATTGCTCCTAAGAGATGAATGACTGGAGACACTGTGAGCCCGGAGCAGCTGACTCCTGTAAGCCGTGCTTGTCTGTTTCCTGTCAGTGTTAGCCCAGGCTCTCTCCTCGCCCGTCCCACCATCCCTCTACAGGGGAGAGAGAAGGTAAAGATGGCTGGGCTGTGGAAGAGAGTACTTACGAAGTGTCTCAGCCCTATGCTGAGGTTCTAGACTTAGTACAGGTGGATTTGTGGTGAGTGAGAATCAAGGCTAAGATGTCTATTTTCTCATTCTGATATGAATGACTCAGGAAGCCACTGTAACAGTTCTTGGAAGCTGGGTCCTCTCATTGGCATTTACACTACTCCTTGCTGCAGGGCAATGTTCCACCTGGATCCAGCTGCAAAGTTTATTTGGACAGTTGAAGGCCTCTCAGTTCTACTGGATTCCCAGGGAGCCCTCTGTGGCCTTTTGGCTTTGAGTGCTGTTTCCCTTTTATCAGAGGGCAGCACTGTATAAATTCCTGTTTTTCCCCTAGCATGTTCTGCTGGATTGTATTACTGACAAAGGAAGAACAGGCCACATGTTGGGCAGAAGTCACCATTCAAGGTTAAGGTGGGCTTCCAGTTGCCTTAATAGAAGTATTCAAGTCTCTTGAATAGTGAGCTGGAAAGCCTACAGGAGAAGAGGGGTTCCTGTTTTCATTTGAAAACTTTATGATGAAGAGAACCTTTAAAAACTAATCTCATACATTTTGGTGCCCATGTGGCTGTAGTTTGCTGCTTTCCTTGATGGACAATACTCGTACTATTGTTGTAACTAACATGCTCCTTTGCCCTTTAGCTAAGGCCATCCTTTCCCACAGGGATGGCTTTGGGATCGGATGATAAGATTTTGGCTTCTGTGTAGTATATCTGTATATACCTGTCTCAAGCAACCTTTCTTTAATGTTTTTGGTTGGTTTGTATCTAATACCTTGGTAGCTGATAATAAAGTTAAAAATTCTATGACCTGCTTTCTCCACTGGTTGGGTTGAATAGGGAGCTGCAAAGTTGGATTTTAGTGGAGAATATTGTAAGCAAGTGACCCATGCTGGGCACAAGCCAGACCTTACCTTTGGCTCCCTGGGTAATGTGGATGCCTGCAGCAGTAAGGAACCCTTTCAGTCTCTGTATTTAAGCCCAGAAAGCATCTGTGAGTTTGCTTGGTTACTCCTCTGGGACTCTGCAGCGGCTTCCAGGACCTAATGAAATCAGGGCAAGGAGGACAGTGTGAGAAATGCTCCCCGTCGGGCCGACGGTGCGCCTGCGTCTTTATTTTTAATAATCTCCCACAGCCGTCCTGGAACGTTGGTTGTGTGTGTTCTGTTATTCGTTTGGCAGCAGAGCCAGTTAAATGTGTCACTCATTCTTGCAGCGTTAACCCTTTCCCAACAGTGCCAAGATCATAAACATAAGGACTTTGAGCGAAGGGCATTTTGATTCCTTACTGACAAAATTTAACAAAGTGTATTGTAAACATCTGTAATTTTCTAAGCTATGCCATGCAAAAGTAAGTACTCGCTAGCTGGTAACAGGGTTAAGATAGTTCAGTGTCAGTGCCCACGACTGTCACAGCTGTTGACTCACGTGTGTTCTGGTGCACTGGATTCCTAACAAACTTGAGAGCTTCTGTAGCAGCATATCCATCAGTGTAGCTTCTTTCCAAGTCTATTAGAAGACAAAAGGAGAAAAGCAAGTATATTGAAGGAAAAAGGTATCAAAGGTAAAAATAACATACATAGTAGGGATACTATTTCCTTTAATGATTTGCTGTTAAAATGGCATGGCTTATACAGGCATTCCCCACTTTACGCCACTTCACTTTTAGGGAAGATGTATGGTAGTACCTATTTTCACTAATCAAAGATATTGGAAGAGGACTTGCTTTTATGAAAAAGGCGAAATGGGAAGTGTTTGCAGTGAGCTATTATAGAAATAGTGCACACTGAACTGTTATTTTTTTTCTTTATATAAGCTGTATATTATATTAGCTTTTACTATATATTAGTGCTGTTTTAGGCTTGATGTATTACTTGGTAGGCTATTTTTGGGAGACTGGGAAAGCTTTAAAAATTTTCCCATTTAAATTGACGATAATTGCTTTTATACTTTATGCCAGTTTGGCTTTTGGAAGTTTTTACAGGAACCTGCTCTACTTTTGGATAGTGGGGAAAACCTGTATATAAAATTACCAAGCCGCAGACTGACTTACCTTAAGGGACTTTCTTTCTTTACCAAAGGACATTAGAATGGCAGAAACAAAAAGGTTAATGATCACGAGTACCATCAAGATGACACTGGTGAGGATCAGAAAGGATCCCAGGACTGTGTCTAAAGCAATAATCTGGAAAGACAATAAAACACTTTTAATTTAAACATGGACAGTTCAATTTCTACTTTAAAAATAAGTTACGTGCTAACATTTGGGATTTATTCACATAAGAAAACACTGGTAGAAACTAGGGAGCAAAGCAAAACTACTTAAAAAGAATACTTTTGAGCAAGAATGACTGACTCTAAGGCTGTAAAAACAGTTTTCTTCAGGGCTTCCCAAGAAGAAAGCAGGTGAGTTGCAAAATTAAAATTATTCAAAGCCCATGTGAGTTCTAACAATTCCAGAAAATACAGGGGTGGGCAAAAGTAGGTTTTATACTTCATACAATCATTGATAATAACTTCCATGTATTCACAACTGTAAACCTACAAATCAAGTGATGTTGATTTTCCAGTACTGATAAATGTTTTGCCTTGGTATTGGCTCCTTCATTTTTGGCATTGTTTAGAAAAAGACCAACAACTTAGAGGATGAATGCTTACACTAAATACCATTATGATGCAAATCTATATGTCAAAACATTTCCTAGTACCAGCCTGTCATCCACTTAATTGGGTAATTATATCAAGTTTGAGCTGAGTTTTTGATATAAGATTTTTCCCAATAAGTATAACTTCATTTGCCCTTCACATTATATAATATGATTTAACAAAAGTTTATTATTCTGATGGTTAGTTCTTTAGTATAGAAAGTGTTCCAGAGCTGAGGACTTCATCCCCTAGTGATTAGGGCTGGGACCACAATAAAATAATCCTCCCAAAACAGTTATTTTAGGGAGATGGCAACTTTCCACTTTAGAAACTATGTTATGTTGTCCATTTTAGTTAGTAACCTTTGAAATCTAGATTATCAGAATGATAAGCCTTGATGAAAATCTTGTCAGTTTCACTAATTTGAATTGCAGTTTTTCCCTTCCCTAATCAAATCTAATATATGCTTGTGCATTGGACCCAAGTTCTTATCTGGGTTTCCTATTTAATTTTTTTATGTGGAATGGAAAGGGGTTCTATTGGTATTTCCTGGAGAGGAATAATAGGCTCTCTGAAATGAGTATTTGTTAACAGATATGTCACAGCTCTTCTGGAATTGTACTGCCCTTTTTTTAAGTCATTTCCATGGTATACTTCAAAGGGCCACTGCAAAGGCAGCAGCAGCCCCGTGTTAATCTGGTCAGGTACAAGAGCACAGCTCACTCCCAGTGTCCTTGGCAGTAAGATTAAGGATACAGGTAGTGAGAGAGGTGGGACCATGTGGTTAGGAAAGGGCAGATTTCTGAAAATAGCCACCCAAAAGCTTGTATACGTCGGTGGTACCATAAACCAGAATGGCAATGTTCATTGGGCTAGCAGGGGCTGCATTTATAGACAGTATCCCTTTGTTAGATACAGGAGGAGCCAAAAGTAGGTTTACAGTTGTGTGGAAAATACTGTTTCCTGTACTCCTACTTTTGCCCAACCCTGCATATTCAACCAAATAGAGGTCTGTAGGGAAAGCAGGATTTTTTTTTTTTTTTTTTACCTCCTTATAATGAGAGATTCCCATCAGGAGACCAACAAAAGTCACTGCTGAGCTGACAAACGTTCGGTAGTCGGACATGCTCCATCCAAACAGCAGGTTAAACTGAAAAGAGGAAGAAAGACCGGTCGGGGTGGAGAGCAGTGGAGGCCATTGCAGTTATTTCTGTCTCGAGGTGCTTGATAGCGATGAGGTCAACACAGAACGAATGGAATAAGGAAATGCTTTAGTGGCCATTTCAGTTACTCTGCCTAAAAAATACATAAAATTCCTTTGTAATTACATAGTATTTTCATATAAATTTGACCTTCATTCCTGTGAGCTAAATTTTATCCCCACTTTAGAGATGAGACAAATGTGTGAATTTAAGTCCTATTGTTCAGTATGGAACTACAACCAAAACCAGCTTTCTTACTCCAATACTTTTTCTCCAAAACTCAGTGCCAGCTTGAACTGATGATTTTCCATATAGTGATCTTTTCTAAGGGAGGCAAAGTGACTCCAAGACCATAGCCCCCAGGAAAGACAGACACAGTGAGGCTCACAGCCATGGCGTAGCCTGTCAGCAGGATCACAATGACCAGCAGGAAGCCCACCACCTCATCCCAGGCTTTGGTGAGTGTTCTTCCGATGACCTGCAGCCGGGGGTTAAGATGCAGCAGCATCCATAGCTGAACAGTTGCCAGCAGAACCAGGAAGCCCATGAGGTGAATGACAGCCGAGTTCACGGTTACTGCCTCATAGAAGCTGATGAACCTGCAGCGGGAAGGCTGACAGTTACTCAGTGTGAACTGTGTGCCATCACCAATTCCTGTGCTGCCAGCTTCTCCAGTTCCCACTGCCCAGTGTAGCAGTTGTGTGAGTCCTGTTAGGTGAGATGCTTGATGTACGAATGCTGCCTTCTAGTGTGGGCTCCTGTATTTGTGCATATGAGAGCAGAAGAAATGTGTTTGGTTGGGAGTTGTGAAGAAAATTTGAAATTTTGACCTGTAGCTGATTTCTTTACTCCAGGTTCATCCTGGAAACCAAGGCCAGCCCAGCCGCCTCTATTGCGCTGCCTTGAGTTAAACCTCTCCTGTCAAAAGGAGATGAGTTAACAATGACGTGGGCCATTAGGCTGGTCTCTTTTCTGTCATGCTGTAATCCTGTACTGTCCTCTGCCAGTAGATAACTGATCCTCTAGGTTTACCAGTGCTGAGAGTGGAAAGATGATTAAACTGGAGGTGAGGGGTGTTCATAACCAATTAGGAGTTTTTTTTTGTGTTTTTTTTTTAGGTTTTGTTATTTGAGAGACGCATTCATAATTTTGTTGCAGCATCCAGACCACCATAGATATGAGCATGTTGGCATTCAATCACAATTCTTTTATTGTCTAAAAACTAGGCAGTGCCACACAACAGGCTGGACCTCAGCTGCCAGCATCATTCAGACTGCACAGACCCACTGTCCCTGCATAACAGCCCTCTGCAAGGCCTTCCTGGGACAGTGCCTCAGTCTTACACAGATCAGTGGCCCAGCCTGTTGACCATGAAAGGTTAGAAAAGGTTGATCAGGGGCACCAGAATGGGTGAACATCCCTACCCAGAAAGCAGCTGCTTTGGATTTAAGTATGTGCTACCTGTTGTGGTTTTACTTAAAAGATGACCATTTGTCTTGTCTTAGGTTTTATTCCTTGGCCAGGGTGCAAAATAATGACCCAGGTGGTAAATAGAAGGACACATCCAGGCCCCTGTGCTGTGAAAGGCAGAAGAACTTGATTAGCAATATAAGCTTCTAGTTAATTGTTTTCTCTGCTGGGGACATTAGTCTGAGGTTTCTCTTTAACGTTGGTATTATACAAAAATACCAAAGCAGTGGAGGAGGAGAGGAAGTTTGAAAGAATCCTGTGTGAATCAGGACACTTTGGACGTCGAGGAGGAACGTCTGTTGCTTCTCGGGCCCCCTCTTACCTGTCACGGTCGTGGTGATATTGTGCCATGTTCTTCTTATGTAGAGAAATAAGCTTGATGTCAAGCATCAAGATGGCAAAGCTGGTAAGGATTATGCTCATGTTCAGAATGTTTTTCTTCCTCGTTAAGAACCTCCATCTCTGCTGTTTCAGCCGGCGACCCTAAACAGACAGCACCGTCACTGCTGCTTGCCTAAACGGTTAGCTGCGTCTCTCCCTAATGAAATGTCATGAACACAGGCAAAGTGCGCTCAGCTGGGGACTTGGATCTGACCTGGGCACAATGTTATAGTCTCCGTTCTGCTCTGTAGTCGCTCAGAGCTGCTGCTTACGAAAAGGTGGCCTTCTCTAATACAGCTTTCACTGGGTACAGTCATTTTTCTCATTGCTTAAACTTAATTTTAAAAGTTTCTAAGTTAGTTATCAAGCCTGAAAATAAAGAAAACACTGTGTTTGGCTTAAGATATGTTATCTTTTGCGTACAGCATCTGTATTTTGAGTACTTGCTCTGTTCATCGTGCTTTCAGTCTTGCTGTTGCTTTATAGGGTTAATAACACTGCACACAAAATAATCTTTATACAGACCTAGTTCTTTAACTCTTGAAAACTGAAAGAGCTACTTTGTGGAAAACTAGTCAGCCTTTAACTGAAGTCAAGTTCCTGGAAAAGACCAAATCAGCTATAATTCAAGCAATAATAGCTCATTGTGTAGCTCCCCATATAATACCTGGCAAGCTTGAGAATTTTCAACTCACCTGTATGAAGCCGTAGTAACAGATTAGTAGATAATAGATGACTTGTGAGGCAATAGACCAGGCAAAGTCCTTCCTTGATGTCTGAAGGGAAGTTAAAGTGTCCAGTCTTACAGAGGTGAAGAAAGCACCTGAAAATAACATTGAGTCATGAGTCTTAAGAACTTTCCCTTCAAACTCTGTCTTTGAAATAACCCCAACTGTCGCTCTATTATTTGTTTCAAATGTTCTTGAGTTTCTAAGCTCAGTATTTCTTCTCGAGGTGTCATGAATAGTAAATGAAATCATGTGCAAAGCTATTGGAGAAATGTGCTTATTGCATTAAAAGTTAGTAGAGGGGAGAGGATTATACTGTTGATCCCACTTAGAGGGCAGTGTCAATGATTGAATAGCTGTTACAGGTGTTACCCTTATGAGTTAGAATAGCCGCAGGGATGTACAGACCTAGTGTTGGAACCTGGTGTTTTACAGAGAACTGATCACGGCAATGTAAAATGGGGACAACAGAGTCAAACGTAAGTGTGGTACTTTCGTTTAAAGCTATTTACAATATATTTTCAGAAAGTATGATTAAAATGCTTTGAACAATTTCAAATGTATTTAAAGCATTAATATTATCCCATGAATACTCAGATGTTTGTATGAGGATAGACTTAAAAAGCTTCAGACTCCACCTAGAGAGACAGTGATTTTGTTGCAGTTTTATAAAGTATGAAAGATCTTGTGAATATAACTTTTCACAAAGCCCCAAAATATTAGAACTAAGATATGCCCTTAGTAGAAAGTGCCATTTTAAGAACAAATTCCTACTTCACATAGTTAGCTCTCAAGACTGGGACTTTCTGCCCTAACCGGTTTGGCTCAGTGGATAGAGCATCGGCCTGCAGAATCAAGGGTCCCAGGTTCTATTCCGGTCAAGGGCATGTACCTTGGTTGCGGGCACCTCCCCAGTGGGGAGTGTGCATGAGGCAACTGATCGATGTTTCTCTCTCATTGATGTTTCTAACTCTATCCCTCTCCCTTCCTCTCTGTAAAAAATCAATAAAATATATTTTTAAAAAAAAGAATGCCTTAAAAAAAAAAAAAAAAAGACTGGGACTTTCCCTCAGGAAGTAAATATAGGGAAGTGGTGTACTCTGTGTGGGTCTGGGAAGAAGAAATTCCTGATTAGAAGTAAACCCTGGTGGTAAATAGGACACTTGTGGGCAAATTCTGGGGGAGAGAAGAAAGAAAAGGATTAGGACAGACCTACTGTTAAAGGAAGGGGAATTCAATGTACCAGTTTCCCTCTAGTCCCTTAACAAAATGCCTCTACAATGACAATGAAGGGATGAAAAATGACTAAGGTAAAGAAGAGGGCAAATGAGAGGAACAAACTGAAAGCTGGAAAATGGACAGATGACACTGACTCAGCAGATTCAAGAAAGCTGAAACCTAAGCAGTAAGAAGCCAGCCCATTCTTACCACAAACCCTAGAAAGGCTGGGAAATGAGGGGCAGCAGGTACCTCTGAAGGCAGAGGGTCAGTTGGAACTGAAAGTGGAAATGATGGCAAGAATGAACTTAAACAGATCCCAGATTTCCTCCCTGTCACAACCAGATATCCGCCCATCCTGCCTTCCACTACCCCAAGACTAAAGGTTTATTTCCTAGTGACGCTGAACTAGAGAGAAATCTGAACTCAGAGTACATCTGCAAGTCTATGGAAGAGGGACTTAAGAGGAAGTTTACATACTGCATGGTGAGATCCTTACTCCCCTCAACTTCTTTAACAGGCTCATCCTCAAGACAGGCGTTGGAAGCGTCCCTCCTGAAAACTGACTGCCCAAGAGAAAAGACAGGTGCCAGTTGACAAGCTCTATCCACGCACACAGAGTTCCTAATTAGCATTTGTTTTTTTTTGTTGTTGTTTTACTGTCTCAAATATGAAAGAACAGCCAGATACTTAAAACTCTAACATTAAAAACCAGAAATTAAAGCAAATAAATAAAAAGCTCAGAGAAATTAGAGAAAATGAAGAAGCTGATAAAAACAAAATGAACCTACAGTATCCTCAGAGAGTTGAGAGGATATTGATTCCATAAACAGGAGACTATGCAAAAGAAATATGAGAACACAATTCTTAGAAATTAAAATATAAAGATGAAAATTTCAAATGGTTTAGAAATTGAAGTAATCTTTCGGAAATAAGATGGAAAATAGCGAAAACCTAAGAAAATCAGAGGATCAGTCCAGGAGTTCCTACCTCAAAATTCTAGGAATGTCAGGAAGAGAAAATAGAGGGGAAGTTTACAAAGAAATGCAAATAAAACTTATCAGAGCTTAGGGACACATTTTCAGATGAAAGGCCTTACCACGAGGTCGGTCAGATCCTTTCATAACCCTGGGGACAAAGACAATTCTAAAAACTTGGGAGTGGGACCATCATATTAACAGTATGAGAAGTTAGAAGGCAATGGACTGTACTCTCCAAAAAACAATTGTATCCAGTCAAATAAGCAAACAAATGTGATGACAAAAATTTTTTTTTAACATGTAAGGCTTCAAAAAATGTACTTCCCTTATATCCTTCCAGGAAGTTACTGTAGGATGTGCTCCAGCAAAATGAGAAGTAAACCAAGAGAGGAAGACATGGGATCTAGGAGAAAGGAGGCCCAGCTGAGGAGAGAAGTGAAGATAATCCCTGGGGTGGCAGGGAAGGGAGAGTTAGGTTAAGACTCTAGAGCAGGCCTGGAGAATAACCAATCCCACTGTGCCAAAAGGATCACAAAATGATAGCTTATGTGATACTTTTGAACAGAATGAGATTTACTTCTAGGAAGAGTTTGGTTCATCTCCAATTAATAGAATGCATGCAAAACCAAAAACAAACAAAAACTATAGGGAAAACAAACAGTTATAAAAGAAAAGGAATTGTAATACATTACATGGCTAATCTTTGAAAAATATATTATCATAATAATGGAAATACTCAATATTAACCATAAGTTATATTGGGAAAATGAGAAAAGAGAGAAGGTATGTATATGTATGTGTATGTTAGGGATATTTGTGGGTATAAGAAAGTTAAATCTTCATGTCATAAAAAACACTATCTAAAACTGGAAGATTCATGAAATAGCTAATAATCATGTTAATTTTTAAACTCCAAAAGAACCAGTTAAAAAAGCTGAAAGTTTCTCAAGGGTGTAAGAATGAGGTGGGGTATGAGGACTGCTAGGTTTTGCCTAACTATTTGACTTTTAAGATTATATTATGTGTAATAACTTTAATTAAAATAGTGTCTTTTAATGATGTAAGAAATCGGGACTTCTGAGATACCCAGGTCAGAGGGAGGAGAGAAGAGGCCTTCGTACCCACATTGTTGGATTCCAGAATCAGGGTCACTACACAGAACAGGTTCACGTTAGCATTGAAGACCACAAATTCCACAAAGAGGCTTTTGGTGCGACGGTCTAGCCAGCGGCTCTGTTCAAGATGCTGCAGAACTCTGGGAAGACAGGGGACAGGCCTGCTACTTGCTCCACTCAACCTTGCAAAGGAGCTAAATGCCCTGGCATTTCCAATATTACTCAGACCAGATGAGAAGCTACATTCCCTGACCTAGATGACCTGTGCAGTGTTTTATAATTACCAATGCCCACACTTTCACTGTGATAACGTGACTATAAAAGACTATAGTAAGGATAAAGTTTTCACAATAGTAGTCACACCAAGGTTAAACGTTCAAAAGAATATATTTGGCATTTGAAGTGTGAGGGAGAATTTTACATGCTCTGTCAACTACTTCTATTTGAAGTGTTAAATGCTACTCTTTACTAATATTCAGTTTTGAGAGGTGTAAGGGGTCGAAATGTCATTTGATTGGCATTGTTTTTAATGTCTTGCTATAAATTTAAATGAATAATAATTTAACTTAGACATTTTCATACATAATGACAAAGACTCTCAGGATTCATATAAACACTAATCTAGATCTCTCTGACAGTTTATTTTGGGCATTTGAATTTTGGATTATTTGTGGTTCTTATGAAGGGTGGTGTTCTCTCTTATGTTTGAAGAGTATAGTTTGCCCAAGCTAGACTTACCGAGTTCAGCTGCAGCTAGGATTGAATCTGTTATGTTTTTCCAGATGAGAAAAAGAATGAGATTTGGCAAACCGGCATGCTAAAACATAACCCTGTAGTTTGAGATTGAACAAGGAATTTTCAAACTAAAAGATACATTTCCTTAAAAGCCTAAAATAAAGGTGTCTACAAGTGTCATTATAGTTGCTGTCAAACTACTCAAATGGGTCCTAATTCCTACTTGTCCTAAGAACGGACCGAAGCAAACATCTTGGTCCTCTTGTTTAGGGCTCAGGCTCGCTCACCTGGTTGCAGAACTAGAGTTCCTTCCAAGTCTGGCAGCGTATCCTCCCGAGTAAGAGGCAAACTCCCCTTGGACGGGGTAGCCACCCAGTGTCTCCTGATTCTGATAATGCCAAATGCTGTCTGATTCTGTGTTGTTTGTTTCAGGGGGGCTCCAGTTAACCCCATAGTTCTCTGTATCCTCCAGATCTTGATGAGATGGCTTCAGAATGCGAATCTGACGAAGCAGAACATTGCCCAAAAGAAAGGAGTTCCCATCGGTAATAAATCCTAGTGAGAGAGTACAGGAAGCCATTGTAAAAATTGCCTCGTTATGTTCTTAACAAACACTGCAGTTTCACCACTGTTTTTAAAAACATTTTTGGAGTTTCCAGTTAATGCAACCAGATGTAATTCAGGGGTCCTCAAACTTTTTAAACAGGGGGCCAGTTCACTGTCCCTCAGACCGTTGGAGGGCTGGACTATAGTTTAAAAAACAACTATGAACAAATTCCTATGCACACAGCGGCGGCAAAAACACCCGGCGGGCCGGATAAATGTTTTCGGCGGGCCGCATGTGGCCCGCGGGCCGTAGTTTGAGGACCCCTGAACTAGATAATGTATAGGTAATGGTCTATCAGTGGTTGGCAAACTCATTAGTCAACAGAGCCAAATATCAACAGTACAACAATTGAAATTTCTTTTGAGAGCCAAATTTTTTAAACTTAAACTATATAGGTAGGTACACTGTTATTAACTTAATTAGGGTACTCCTAAGGCTTAGGAAGAGCCACACTCAAGGGGCCAAAGAGCCGCATGTGGCTCGCGAGCCGCAGTTTGCTGACCACTGGTCTAGGTAGATCATGACAACTGAGGGAGATAGTGGAATATGAGGTCCCTTACTTGTGTCTCTCAGTAATAATCTGGCAGGTCCCTGCAGACAGAAGTGCCTTTGTGGGCATTTTGAGATTTAGTGGGCGACTGTGAAACTCCATGAAGTCCAAGACAAACAAGGTCCGTTTTGAGAAGGCAGGTCCCCCCAATGGCTAACTCACCAATTGTGGGCCTGGCTACAGATCTAGAAACAGCTCTGTCCTCCTGTGGGCGTTGCTACAGTGCCATTTGACCTTGATCCTGCCACCAGCACCACATGCCAAGGGACTCAGGAGGGGTCATTACTTCTGTGCCTCAGATAATAGGCCTGCAGAAGTCAGTCCTGATTGTGGACCATAACGTGGCTGAGACCCAGCTCCAGCCCCCCTCTCAGCTGTGGCCCAGAAGCCCCCGGAGGCAAGCTTTCCAAACAGTCTAAGGATCTTGAAACCGCCCTATAACTTACCACACCAAAACAAACAAAACACACAATGTTGTGAGATGGCTATGTTAATTAGCTTGATTGTGGTAATCATTTCACAATGTGGTTGTATACCAAAGTATGTTACACCTTAAATACATGCAATTTTTGTTGGTTATACCTCAATAAAGCTGGGGCAGTGGAAATGAATCTAAAAACTGTTACAGAAAGGCAATTCAGCAAGGTGGCTGGGTACTAAATATCCTTCATATATCCAAATAATATTTACTTAGAGAGAAGTAAATATTATAGAGAAGTAAAATATCTCATTTACAATAGTAACACAAAAGGTAAGCCTAACAAGAGATGTGCAAAAATTTTATGATGAGCAATTGTGAATGTTACTGTGGATGAGATGAGAATAGAAAAGCATACCATATTTCCATATAGGAAGAGAACATTCTAAAGATAATAATTCCCCAATTTAAGTTCTTAGTTTGTATCCACATAAATATATAAATCTGTATCTACAACTAAACAAGCTCTTAGTACATAAAAGGTTTCTATTTATCAAAACAGGCAAACAAAATCAAGCAACCCAATGAAAGATGGGCAAGATTTTGGAATGGCATTCAATCATTCATTCATTCATTCTTTCAGTCAATCTGTATTAAATGCTCACATATACCAGATCCTGTTCTAGGTGCTAGGAACAAAGCAGTGGATAAAAGAGTCCTTGTCCACAGAGAGCTCACATGTGAGGAGGGAGAGAGGCAATAACCATACAATATTCTGGTAATGGCTGCTATGAAGAAAAATTTAGGATGAAGGGACAGAGAGTGTTTTGTGGGGAGGGAGCAGTGCTGTTCACTTGGGAAGGGTGATTAGAGAAAGCCACTTTGGTGGCTCATGTAGAGTGAATGAGGGTTAGGGCAGGAGATGAAATAACAGATGTATTTTAGGGGCCAGACTGGGCAGGCCCCTGTAAGCTTTGGAAAGGGTTTGGGATTTTAAATGTGATGGGACTCCATTGGGAGGTTTTAAACAAGGGAGTAACACAGATGTCTGTTTTTTTTAATCTATACTTGAAATCACCTGATAGGCCAGGCATCAATCAGGCCATACCTGAAATCATGTGAAGTACCAGCATCGCCTCCATCCTGCAGATTTATGTTTTAAAGAAATAACATCGGGGAAGATGGAATGAAGAACAAGGGCAGAGGCAAGTTTTGCCCCTTGGAGGTGAAAAATTGTTTCTTAGTTTAGTTTCAACTTTTATTTTCTGGCCAGTGCAGTTGCAAAGTCTTTCCTGTATCTCAGAGCTGCCTGTGCTGGAAAACACCCCTTTCACTGGGCTGTAGGAGATGGGGCCCCACTCATATCTTATACGGTGCTCATGGGAGTGTTAATTGTTACAATAACTAAGGAGAACAATTTGGCAATTATCTTTCTAAATTAAAAATGTATATACATTTTTAGCAAATCTTTTCAAGGTATTTAGCTTACATATATTTGTACATGGGTAACATTACATATGTAAAATTAGAGTAATGGTAATGTTAAAAGATTGGAAACAACTTAAATGTCTATCAATAGGGAGCTGTTATATCAATCAGGGTACATCCATGCAGTGGCATACTATGTAGAAACTGAATAAAACATAATAGGGTCGGCTTTATATATACTGATGGAACAATTTCCAGGTAAACTGTCAAGGGAAAAAAAGCAAAGTGTGCATGACAATGTTTCTAGTGTGTTACCATTTATGATCAGATATATTTGCAAATGCATAGATTACCTCTGAAAGGCTATATAATAAATTGGGAATGTAGTTGCCTCTTGGAAAGAGAAAAGGGGATTATGGAACAAAGGAGAGTTGTACAACATACACTGTTGTACATTGAATGTTCTCCATGTTCATGTTTTAATTATTAAGTATTTTTTTAAGTATAGGGAGAGGGATAGAGAGATTGAAACATCAATCAACTACCGCCTGCATGCCCCCCACCAGATCGAGCCCACAACAGGAATCGAATTGTGACCTCCTGGTTCATAGTTCAGTGCTCAACTACTGAGCCACACTGGCGGGTCTTAACAAGTATATTAACATGACAGAAAAAAATCATGTTAGAAAATTTGGCAGGAATAGGTTTGCCGGGAACAGGTGGAAAGTTAAAGGACTGGGACTTCTGCAGAAGGGAGGAAGTGACAACCTTCAAATATGGTCTCACTTTGTATTTCCTAAATGAAAAATACATAAAATGATAAAATTTTGATCAGTTTTCCATCAGAATAAAAAAGAAAAAGCAAGCTTAAATTACAGCAAGAGAAATGTGAATTAAACCCTGCAAAGGAAAAGACCCTCCCCTGTATGTGACTGAAGAGTAAGTGTTTTTTTTTGTTTTTTAAAAAATATATTTTATTGATTTTATAAAGAGAGGGAGGGAGAGGGATAGAGAGTTAGAAACATCGATGAGAGAGAAACATCGACCAGCTGCCTCCTGCACACCCCGTACTGGGGATGTGCCCGCAACCAAGGTACATGCCCTTGACCGGAATCGAACCTGGGATCCTTCAGTCCACAGGCCGATGCTCTATCCACTGAGCCAAACCGGTTTGGCAGGAAGGGTAAGTGTTTACAGGATATCGATTATCTGTCACGAATGGCTTGGGCTTCAATGTTCCTGAAAACAACTGGACTAAGAGGACTGGGTTACGTCAATTCTGAAAGTAAAGATTTTTAGAATTGAAGAGATAACCCATGTTAGGGCCGATTTTTACTGTGCTTCACCCATGTCTACCTAGTTCTGTTTCATTATCACCATCTACAGATTGCTGCTGCAATCTGGTGATTCCAGGTAATTCATGTACACTTTGGTTCTAGATTAGCCAGAGCTTCTATTTCACCAGTTAACAATAGCTAGCACTTATCCAGTGAATACCATGTGCTGATACACTAAACACTTAGATATACTAAGCTTTTGTTTTGTTTTGTTAATCCTCACCCAAGGATTTCCATTGATTTTTAGGGAGAGTGGAAGAGAGAAAGACAGAGAGAAACTCATCAATTGGTTGCCTCCTGCACGAGCCCCGACCAGGGCCCGGGCTGGGGAGGAGTCTGTAACCAAGGTGCGTGCCCTTGACCAGAATCGAACCCGGGACCCTTTGGTCCGCAGGCCGGTGCTCTATCCACTGAGCCAAACCAGGACACTGTACTGCAGAACCAAGTTGTCCAAGAAGAGAACTGGACCTATCATAATGGCAGCAGCTTAGTCACCTGCAGCTCAGTTTCCTTTTTAGTCAGTATTTTATTCAGCACAGGGTTACCGACTGCAAATTGAATGTGCCCCGAACCTAGAACTGTCGCCACCTAAAACTGAACTAGAAAGAATCAGCCAAAACCGGTTTGGCTCAGTGGATAGAGCGTCGGCCTGTGGACTGAAGGGTCCCAGGTTCGATTCCGGTCAGGGGCATGTACCTGGGTTGCGGGCACATCCCCAGTGGGAGATGTGCAGGAGGCAGCTGATCGATGTTTCTCTCTCATTGATGTTTCTAACTCTCTATCTCTCTCCCTTCCTCTCTGTAAAAAATCAATAAAATATATTTAAAAAAAAAGAATCAGCATGCAACAAATAGGAGTAAAAATCTCTTCTAAAGGCACCTCATACATCATTAAGAAAAGACTGAATGTTTGCCGAGATGAACATGTCTTCTCGATTTTTTCAGGTGTTCTAAATTCCAAGGAAGCCACCAATCCTTAGCTAAATGAATGCAACAATTTCCAGAATACAGCTTACTGAACAGGATATAAAGTAATAATATGACAAAGTGTTGGTAACTGGTGAAAAATACTGAACAAGAAGCATTCTTTAGGGAAGACATTGTTTAGCATTTCTGCAACACTGTCCAGGGCAAAGCCTACCAACTGTTCTTGATGGTGAGTTTCTTTAAAGATACAGACCATATTATATTCATCTTTCTATCATTAGCTCCTAGGAAGTTCCCCGCATACTAGGTGCTCAATATATATTTGTGCAACTGAACTGGATAACTAAACAAGAAAAGTTACAAACACATCACAGACTTGGAAAGATTGCACACAAGGCAATGTATCCAATAGATCTTTCTGGTTACCATTTTCCTGGTTCTGTGCTTACTGAACAACCTTCTCAGCCACATGTGGTTCTCTCTGCAAGGAGGCAACCAGTCCCAGGGACCACTCCCGTTACTTTTTTAAAATATATTTTTATTGATTTCAGAGAGGAAGGGAGAGGGAGAGAGCGATAGAAACATCAATGATGAGAGAGAATCATTGATCAGCTGCCTCCTGCACGCTCCCTACTGGGGATTGAGCCCACAACCCAGGCATGTGCCCTTGGCCGGAATCAAACCTGGACCCTTCAGTCCTCGGGCCGACGCTCCATCCACTGAGCCAAACCCGCTAGGGCCCTCCCGTTACTTTTTATGCTATAAGGCAGGGGTGGGGAACGTCCAGCCAGCGGGCCACATCAGGCCCTCGAAATCATTTGTCTGGCGCTGCCAAGGCATTAGGGGTGAGTTAATTAGATATTTAACCAAACAGCAGGCTAATTTTTAAGGTGATAATTTTGTATGTCCTGCGAATGTTGTAAATATCCCAATGGCCCTGGGCAGAAAGGAGGTTCCCCACCCCTGCTATGAGTGAATAAATCCTCACTCTTATCAGCCTCTTGTGAGACTCACCAGTGGGGATCCACCCCAGGGACCCGATCACCCTTAACTGGAGAGACATAAACCTGAACCTGCTCAGATGAGGTCCAGGGAGTGGAATCCTTGGGTGCCGCCCCTTCCCCCTCATGGGTGCAGCCATGTGGAAAAGGCAGCTGACCTTTCTCCCGTGTCCAGCACGTCATGGTGGGGTGTCTGGGAAAGTAACTGAACCCCACAGTTGCGTGGCTGGGCCCAGGACTGTCCTTACCTCTGTGATCCCCGTACAGGTTGGGAAGGAGGGTGTGCCTGGCCCAGGGGTAGAAGTGCTGCAGAAGGCTGATCTCTGAGAAGCCGTGAGAAAAGCTCTTCCGGAGAGCCCGATGGAGGTGGAACCGGCTGGGGTTCTGCGAGGAGTGGACCGCGGTCATCAACAGGACAAGGAAGAGGATTTGTGCTATTGCAGAGAACACAGCCATCACTGAGCCTGTAGCTTAGACAGTCTCTACAGCCTTTTCTTCATGTTTTCTAAGTCTACAATATACTTCCACAAACAGTGAAAAAAAAAAACCAGTAAAAAAAAATTGACAACTTCACATGGTTTAACCTAATAATTGTAAACATAAGCAAAAACATTTGGCTGTTACTGATAATATATATCTATATATCCCTTCCAAGAATCATTCTGCCACTAATTAGAAATTTTACTTAAGATACATAAAATCCCACACACAATTTTTGTATTTTAGTTCTTAAAACTAAAGCCTCCTCCCCCAGCCCCCGTGTTCACAAGAAGGGAAGGCACAGTGGAAACAATCTCTCCCCTTGGGGTCAGGGAACCAGTACTCCCCACGCCAGCTGTGTAACAGCTCCAGGCAGGACAGGATACCCATTTTTCAGAGCACATCCGTTCTCCCTCCACCCTGTGAAGGAGGTGGGTCCAGTTTTGGTCTTACGTTCCGTAGGCAGAGAAAGTGACTTACGCAAGCACTCAGTGACATCTCCAGACTTCAGGAGTCCCTGTTTACCCACCACCCTGTTTACTGGAGCCCAGAAATGAACGCCTTAAAATGCCCTTACCCTCCCGTAGTTCCCAGTTATCCCCGCCCCCGTCCTCGCTGGGCACTGCGCTGCGCATCAACTTGCCCCATCTCCATACCCAAAATCTCCCCCGTCAGCTTGAAGAGCTGCTTCTCTTTCAAGGTTCTTTCTGGGCGCGTAACTGGACTGTTCATAGCTGGCGCTACATAGACGGGGTTCCTCTTATCTCTTGAACCAGGAGATGATGGAGGACATTTTGCTGTCAGAAATTCAAATATAGGCCAAGAAATGTTATGTTTTGTTAAGCAATTATTCATCGGTGTTTGTTGAGCATCTATTACGAGTACCTCCTGTTAAATGTTGAAGAAACAAAGAAAACCCCTAAGGAGATGCTCCTGCTATCATGGACTTCTTAGCCTATAAAATTGGTTTTCAGCCTGAAGTTAAGTGTGCTCAGTTGCTATAAAAGTTCCTAACTTGCTTACTCCATTTCTGTGCTTATCTTGGACTAGAAACAAACAGTTCTAGGCAGTGGGGCACATGTTGGGAGCACGCCCCAGGGGTGCTTCTCAAACTTCAACATTCACAGTTTTGTTAAGTGCAGGCTCTGGGGTGAAGCCTGAGATTCTGCATTGCCGGCAATTCCAGGACACGCGGCCAACGTTCCTAGTGATAATGTTCACCACTGCAGAGCTAATCCTATTTTACAGTCTATTTGAAGCAGCGCTAGTGCTACCCTCATCCTCACTGGCTGAGGAAGTCTAAGAGACGACTGAAGGCAGGACTTTACTTCCCGTTTCACCCACTGTGGGGTCACTTCCACTCCTCGTTGCACTAATCCATATGCAAAACCTATAGGCTCTTTACTTTTTATATATTTTTACTGATTTCAGAGAGGGAGAGAGAGATAGAAACATCAATGATGAGAGAGATCATTGATCAGCTGCCTCCTGCACGCCCCCTACGGGGGATCGAGCCTGCAACCAAGACATGTGCCCTGACCAGGAATTGAACCGTGACCTCCTGGTTCATAGGTTGATGCTCAACCACTGAGCCACACCGGCTGGGATCCTTACATTCCTACTAGCTTAGTACTGAATTCAGCCTCTGCCTACTCCTTGATATAATACTTTTCTATGACTCGCATGCACAGTCATAGCACTTACAGTAAAAAGGCCTCTCTATGGCCTCTATTTATGACCAAAAAGTACACGGAGAAGTCCCATTGCTGGCTCTGTAGTTCTTGCAACTGTATTACCCACACTAGGGTGCTATAATGCTCCGAGCCCAGTAATGCTAACACTCCTAACAAAGTTACAGCACACTCCTTCCCAGTCCTTATGAGACGCAATCATACCCAGTTCTCTCTACACCAGCAGACTTAAAATCACATCTCCCACCAACCACACAGCACTGGTAATTGCAGCCATCCTTATTCAAACCCCGGGAAGCCATATAGTAGCAGCCCTGCCCTGCTAATCGCACACGGCCTCACCTCCTCAGGACTACTCCCCCGGCAAACTCAAATGATGAACGAATTCACAGCCAAACTATAACTTTAGCTCATGGCCTACAAACAATTCTTCCACCAATAGTAGCACGATGACTACTAGCAAGTCTTACTAATCCAGCTTTACCCCCAACAATTACTTTAACTGGAGAATTCCTCGTAGTTATAATCAACAGTCTCATGTTCTAATGTACCTATCACCCTTACAGGAGCTGACATTGTTATTACCGCCCTCTGTTCCCCCTACATACTAATTAAAACGAGGAAAACGCATCACAGAAACAACATTAAACCATCCTCACATGAGGAAACACCCTAACAGTACACTCGCTGCCCCTCCTCCTACCCACCTACCCTGAAATCATTTTGGGAACCTTGTACTATATGGCTTCATGAGGACATAATAAACTAAAAATACTTATTTACTGAAAGAATATGCAAGAACTGCTAATTCTTGCCTCCACATATATCAGTATGGCCTTTATAGGAGTTATCCATTGGTCTTGGAAACTAAAAAATTGGTGCAACTCCAAATAAAAGTAGTGATTTCTATTTGCTTCCTCAATACTAATTTCTCTACTTTACTAATCCTACCAATCACAGCAACCACCTCTAATATCTATGAAAGCCAGATGTGTCCTCACTATGTACAAACTACAATTTCATACACTTACCACTAGTCTAATCCAACAAAATTTATCCAATTGGGCCAAGAAAGAACCATCTCAAATTGACTCTGAATAACTATTCAAACTCTAAAAACAACACTTAACTTTAAGCTAGACTACTTCCCAGTAACATAGGGTGTCCCAAAAAAATGTGTACACACTTTAACAGCTGATAACTCATTCCTTTTCAGGTTTAACTGATTTGAAATAATGGGTGAACCCAGACTAAGCTTTGAACAAAGAAAATTTATCCTAAAGTGCCACTAGACTTTTTTTAATGGGAATACATAAACGATAAAGTTTATGGTACAAAACCCGCAACAGTCGATGAATTGAGGGCACACAAATACTGAATGAAATGATTCTTGACGTCTGTGACTATTGCTTCACATTATCAGCAATGCCTAGACCAGAACGGTCATTCGTTTAAAAACAGGCATTGAGCACCCGGCCAGCGTGGCTCAGTGGTGAGTGTCGCCTATGAACCGGGAGGTCATGGTTTGATTACCGGTTGGGGCACATGCCCGGGTTGTGGGCTGGATCCCCAGTGGGGCGCATTCTGGAGGTGGCCAATCAATGATTCTCTCCCATCATTGATGCCTCTCTCTCTCTCTTTCTCTCTCTCTCTCCATTCCTCTCTGAAATAAAAAAATAATAATAAAAATAACAAAAATAAAAATAGGCATTGACAAAAAATTATTCATTTCTGGAGGTTTCTTTAGATTCTGAAAATGTATGTTAAACACTGACTTTATTTTTAATATTTATATTGATTTCAGAGAGGAAGGGAGAGGGAGAGAGACAGAAACATCAATGATGGGAGAGAATCACTGATGGGCCGCCTCCCACATGCCCCCACGGGGAATCCAGCCCGCAACCCGTGCATGTGCCCTGACTGGTCATTGAACCATGACCTCCTGGTTCATAGGCTGATGCTCATAAACACTGACTTTATAATCACTCAAAGTGCATGTACATTTTGGGGGGACACCCTGTATTCACACCAGTAGCCACTACTCCTGAGATCGATCACAGAATTCTCAGCATGATATACACTCTCAGATCCTATCATTAGCCAATTTCTTAAATACCTCCTTATATGTCTCATACTATTAATCTTATGCCCCACTAACAATCTTTTTCGACTAGTCATCAGATGAGAAGGAGGGGAATGACATCATTCCTACTAACCAATCAGATGATGGTCGAACAGACGCAAACACTGCAGTCATATGTAACTGCATCGGAGACATCGGATTTACTGTGTCGATGGCGTGATTCTTGTTCAATTTTGACTCCTAAAGATCTTCAACTGATCTTTTTACTCAACCTTAGCAATACTACTTTCCCACTGGCTGGCTCCTGCTAGCTGCAACGGGAAAATCCACTCAATTCAGACGTCACCCACGACTGCCTTCCACTGTAGAAGGTCCCGCACCGTCAGCCCTGCTCCAGCCACCCAAGTACAGCAGTCACAGCGGGCATCTTCCTACTAACCTGATTCACCATCAACAGAAAACTGAGCTCATCCGAACAAGATCATGCCCAGGAGCCATTACCACGTGATCACAGCAAGCTGCGCTCACTCACAACGGAACTGAAATCATTGTCGCCTTTTCTACCTCAAGCCAATTCGGCCTAAGAATAGTGACCATCGGCATTAACCACATCGGCACACACGCATTCTTAGTTCTGGGAGCGTCATTAATCATAACCTGAAGACAAAGTTGGCAGCCTATTGATCACGTCACCCTTCCTTCCCCAGCACCGCACCCATTATGGAAGCCTCGCACTTACGGGAAGGCCTTTCCTCACAGGATTCTTCTCCAAAGACCTAGTCGTCCAAACCTAACACGCATGCCGCAGGGAGGCAGCGGGTGCAGGCTGTCAGGTGGGAGGTGAAGAGTCATCCTGCACCTCACAACCCAGGTGGGCAGGAGGCTACGCCTGAGCCCTGCTGACTCCCCTCGTGCCACTTCCTTAGCAGCCTCTGCAGTCCTCAGTCATCTCTGTCCTAGCACAACCACGCTCTCCTCCTCTAACCTTAACAGTGGTTCTCAACCTTCTGGCCCTTTAAATACAGTTCTCATGTTGTGACCCAACCATAAAACTATTTTCGTTGCTACTTCATAACTGTAATGTTGCTACTGTTATT